CTACAACCTGCATAAATGAAGGTAGCAAATCCCACATGGCCACCAAAGTTAAACTTAAAATGTACAAATTGTTGATGATTGACAATGATATTCCATCTGATTTCTTTTCTACAAAAAATCCAGATTTTATTATTGATATTAGCATAGTTACTGAATCCAGGGAATTTCTTGGTAAACTTTTGATGGTTTTTGTGAACCATAGGCTCTAGGATCACAATGCACCAAGGTTTATATTTATGGGTTAACTTTAAGACTCTTTTAAGGGAGAGGGGATTGGCAATTCCCCTAATGTTCCAACAAAGGATATTAATCATTTGTTTGTTGGATTGGTAATGAGGGTTGTGATCTTGACCTGGTTCTTCCTCTATGTAGATGGGGAGAACCAGATTTGAGATTGATTTTATTCTCACCCTGTTTAGATCCTCCCAGCTGTAATTTCTGAACTTCATTTGTTTGTTTTCTTTTTCTTCTAGCTGTTTGTACCTGCCAATCATCTTCAATTGCCTGTTGAATACCAGCAATGATCTGATCCTAAGGTGTCATGCTATGAATTTCTGACTGTTCTCCCCCTAAAGGGGAAGGAGAGGGTGTGACTATAGTGATTTCTTGAAATTCCTTTCTGATAATATTAGTAGAGGCAGTCCCATTGTTTCTGTTTGTAGGGGAACCTTCTGCTGGCTCATCTGAAGGTTCCACTGGTGAAGATTTTTCTTTAGTGATTGGGAGTGAATCTTTTTTTCTTTGAGTGTCATCCTGCATGTTGTTCAGCTGTGTATCTTTAGTAGAAATTTCTTTAGCTTGCAGTGCTATATTGCCTGTTTCCTTATAATCTTTACCAGTGTTTCTTTTAATTGGTGGATGTATTCTGTAGCATCTTTCCACTGTATGGCCAAACATTCTACAGTGTTGGCAGAAATAAGGCTTCTGTTCAGGGACAATATTCTGCCCAAAACCATCATTATCTAAGCCAATCCAGATTCTTTTCACTTCAGGGAGGGTGATGTCTCTTTCCACTTGTACTGATGTCTCTTTCCACTTGTATTCTGGCCAATGTTGTCCTGGCTTTGTTTTAAGTGGGTGCATCTACTTTCAAAGGTGTGCCTAGAGCTCTCCCTACGTTAAACAGTGCATTCAGCTTGAAGAAAGGAAGTGGAAGCCCAGGGAATTTGTACCAAATAGGATCCATTTTACAATTTTCATTGTAGTTCCAGCAATGATTACAGATTGCTTAGCAAAAAGTCTGGCATAGTCTTCCTCAGTAGTTAATTGGATGAGTAAATGCCTTCCATCCAACAGCCCTATCTTCCAATTACCAATAAATTTAAGTGATTCAAAGAAATTTCTAATCAGCTCCATTCTTGGGTGTCCCAATTGAAACTTCCTTATTAAGGTAAACTTCACATCTTCTTTTAGAGAGGTTATTTCTCTGTTGGTAAAGAACACAACAGTTTCTCCCTCCTTGGATCCAAGTGGATGGATGCAAGGGCAGCTTCCTTTTCCTGCAGCAGTTTCATGAAATTCCTGAGGGAAAACCAAATGATCCAAGTCCTGTAAAACATCAGTAGAGTTTCCAACAACCCCATCATAAGTTGCCTTGGTCCAAAGAGAGTCATTGGCAGCATCAATAGGTGTGGTCATGTCTCAACAGAGACCAGCAACTATAGAGCAGCCAAGGGGAGAACCAATGGAACAGTAAAATCCAGTAGCAAATACACTCGAAGATCCACCTCCACTTGGAGAAGAAGCCAGAAAGGAAACGACATCCACAAACAAACACCTTAGAGCACCTCTTCAGCCAGCAGCCTCCAAACTTCATCCCTGCAGTCAACAAAATTTCTACGATTATATTTGGTTATATTTAATTTTTCTATTTCTTTGCAATAATATGGTCATATATATATATATATATATATATACACACACACACACACACGGATCTAATACAATATTTTTTAGAAATCAATGACTAAATTTTCATACCGTATATGTGCTGATCTTGGGAGGCAGAAAATTATCATTGACACTGGCATATGTGATGTCAACCGAGAACGTATTTGATCTAATAAACGTAAGAGCCTTGACACTAGGAATAGGGTTCCCTTTGGGAAAAACAACTACACTTTGCTGAGCATCTAATGCTTCATTCTGCGAGTCATTATTTGAACCTTTCCATGACAGGGCAACTGTGAAGGGAAAACTCTCATGCACCTTCACAATAGAAGCAAAGAAACCAAATGAGCCCTTAAAGTGGAACAATTAGCAATTCACGTGAACATTGAACAGGTAAGAGAAGCATTGTTTAGAGATCATTGTATTTCTCAAGCAGACCATCAATAATTAAAAACTCTACAGCCAAACTGAGCAAACTATAAAAGAAATCACAAAGAAGACGAACAACAGAAAAATCTGAAACAATATGCAACTTGCAAAAACCTCCATCACCAGAAAATGTGAAAGTAACAAACACCCATGAGAATTACATAAAGAGGACAATTTCATTTTAATGGCCGCAAACTTATAAAAAGAAAGTACCTGAAACTCCCGAACTTTGAAGGTAGGGCTCAAAATTGCACATTGAAGGGCACAACCACGAGCAACACATTCACTAGCATTCAGTGTGCGCCTTGGCTCCTTGCCAAAGAACTCGGTCAAAATTTTAATAATAGCTGGTACACGAGATCCCGATCCAACAACCTCAACAGAATGAATGTTCTCCACCGTCAAACCAGCTTCCTGAAGAGCATTCACAAGAGGACCCTTAACACGCTCCAGTATCGAAGCACTAATCTTCTCAAACTCCTCTCTCTTAATAAACCCCCTAACATCTTTCTCATCCATCAAGCATTCAATATTCAATGGCGCTTCAGGGTTCGCACTAAGCATTTTCTTCAGCTTCTCGCACGCTGCACTGAGCCTAAGGCGCGCACGAGCATTCTGAAAAACATCAATTTTATATTCATCCTTGAACTTGGCAGCAAAGTATTTGAACAGAACATCATCAAAATCCCTGCCACCCAGAGATCGATCTTTTAGAAATCAAACTGACCCAATATTTTTAATGAAAGAACATTATATCTATCCCGGAGGATAAACACAAGACTTGAAGATGAGGCTCGATCAAATAAATTAAGAAATATATGACATTAAATATATGTTGTTTGGTCTGCGAAACCATTTTATTTGCCGACAATTTACCATATTTAATATGAAGAATTAAATAGGGTTTATTTTAAGTTGGGTTCAGACAAGTTTCCTATAAGGGCAAGCCCCTATAGTTATTTACATCTTAGATAACTGAAGTCACCTAAGAAAATTATCAATAAAAATCAAGAAATATTATCTTTAAAGAAGTCAAAGGATAGGACTTCTCAACAATATTGGATAAAGAGGTGTGAAGAGGGATAGGTTCAAATTTGGAACATTTATTGTAGAATGCAAATGAGTAAGAACTAGGGGATGTCATGGATCCAAAGGAGAACCTTAGTGACTTCCCAGTCCATCCTATTGTTGGGCTTCAGTTTTAAGAAGAAATTATTTGAATGTTTCATCCTACCAATTTTATTAGTGAAGACTTACATTTGTGTGAAACGATCACACAAATAGCCTGGAAGATGTGAGGATTTAGGTCGAGACGAATGAGAACCTCAGAATCCTAAGACGAGTTTGGGCTTAGATTGTACAACAAAGCTGGACAAAGGCCTAAACATAAGGTGAGGATTTATGTTGCATAAGCAGACAACCTTGAAATCCTATGGCTTGTTGTTTTAGTTTTAAGGAAGGAAATTGGTTTAGCTGTGGAAGTGGTTTAGCTGTGGAAGACATGCTGTGGAAGACATGTTTTGCTGTTAAAGATGGTCGTGATGCCCATAGTGCTAGCTCAAATCTCCTTGCCGTGATGAGTTTAAGTTTTCTAAGATGTCAAGTTACCGTAGGTTACCTCCTCCGAGAGATTCCCGATCATCCGATAGAGTCGTCTTAATTTATTTGTAGTTGTTATTTTGTGTTATGTTTGTGATTAAATTTTGATTTGTCTTATAATTTAAAAGTTGTGGCGGTAAATTTTATCTTGATTGATTTTAGTTTTGGTTTTCATGCAGGGTGACATCGTTGTTTAACATGCAGGTTTTGTAAGCATAAAAAGTACAGTATGACCGTACAAGAAAGACGACACTGTAAACTATAAAAAGGGTACCTGACGAGTCTTCTCGTTCCACCACCTGAAACACAAAATGCATGTGAGAGCACTTTATATAAAGTGAAAAAGTAATGTTTTAGTGATCTACCCAACCCTAGGTCATATCTTGGTGGGTCCATATTAATTTGATTAAGGATGATTTTTGTTAAGCAAAACATATTAAGTTTAGTAGACCTCCAAGGTATCGAATAGATCTGCAGAAAGAAGTAGGTCCATGCTTCCCTCTCATTGGTTGGTGAAAAGTCTCTAGATCTTTTTAAACTTATTATTTTTCCTAATAACCCATCCTCTAAATACATTTAATGCTCAATGAACATTGATATTTCAATTATCCCTAGGAGTAAGGATAATTATTACATCTAATTCAATTTATGAATTATGCATGTGAAGACCCTTAAAGGGGCAAGTTTGTGTTATTATGACACTTAGCTAATTTTGGTTTTAACTTGGGCTTGTAGTGTTTCAAAGGTGTTCAATTTTTATTCACTTTTCTAATCCTCATTTAATCAAATTTGATTTAGCTTAGGTCACTATTAAGCCCTTAAGCCCTATGTTTTAGTCATTTTGAAAGAGACTAAATTTTAAGTAATAATAATTCATCATCAAAACACTTGAATGTCACTTGAACACCAGATAGGGGTATTCAATTAGTGAGTTATTAACACCCAAAACTATACCCCTAAGTCTAGGATTATTTAATTTGGTAGACTCCCAAATTTAAATCATCTAAGAAATTTCAGATTTATCTTTTAATTGGAAGAAGTGAGATTGGTTTCTACCAATTAATCCTTTGTCTTCAATCATCCAAATATGTTAATTAAGATCAAAGGTTGCCCATTTCACTTTCTTTAATTAAGCATAAATGTTAATTAAATCTAAGTTTCTAAAATTACACTTTTGCCCCTAAGGCTCTAATACTTCATAATTCATCAAATTTAATTCAAATGACTTTGGAATTTGCATCCCACCTCACTCATGGGTCAATTAAGACATCAGAGGAGAAAATGTGATTTTTCAACTTTTTATTTAATATACATATTTATTTTTATGCAAAAATAGGATTTTTTAAAGAAATTTCCATAAGATAACCAAGGCATAGCCTAATCATTTAAAATTTTTACTGGAGGTAGATTTAGGCCAAAGGAACAGTTAGACAAAATTTCATGATCTTTTGAGTCTAATTTTAATTATTAGAATGATTTCAAGTGCTGGAGTATTTATTAATTATAAAATATTTTAAATGTGGAAAGTTAATATTTTATATTTTTATTTAAATATCTTTGAGGTCAAGGAACCTAGAGAAATAAATTTAAAATTTTTATGATTTTTCTTTGAATTTTTAGAATTATTTTAGTGAAAATTCATTTTTAACCTTTAAAAATTATTTTAAGCTTCAAAATTCAATATCTTCACTTAGAAAATCAAAAAAAATATTCCAGTTGTTCCTAAGTGCTTAGAAAATAATTTAGAACATTTCCATGAATTTTATTATTTTTGTGATTTTTATTATTTTTTAATTATTTAAATATTAAAGAAAGGCTTAAAAATTGACTTTTTTTTTAATTACAATTTTATTTTTAGAAGATTCATCTAATTATAGAGAACTCCAAAAACTAATTTTTATAAGTTTTTGAGTTATATTTTAATTGTTAAAAATCATTTTAGTGTTAAAAATTACATTTAACTTAGAAAATTAATTTAAGTTATCAAATGAGCTCCAAATATTTTGAAATTTTTATGGGGAGTTCTCTGAACTTCAAATTATAATAGAGATTAAAAACAAAGTCATTTAGATGTTTATATTTCCCAAATTAGTTTTCTTTGTGTTTTATGGTTTACTAAAAGTTAAGTGTATTCTTAATGACTTAGCCCATGAAATATTTTCCAAAGGGATCTCTAGTCACAATAACCCTTCCAAAATTTTCTTGGATTTTTCTAAATAACATACTAATTATTACAATAAATTTATTCAAGTAGTAGACATAAATTTGAAAAATATGGATCTTTGTCTAGAGATATTCTCTGACTTTGGAAAAATCAAAGAATATTCACTAATATAGAGGCGATAACATGCCAAAATTTCAAGACATTGTGAAATGTCTACATGAATGGAAAATTAAAAGACTCAAAATAGTGTTTAATTAATTAAAAATAAAATATAAATTATATAAACTTTAAATTACTTCCACGTTGTTCTCCTTATTTCACTGAGCAATAGCGTATTTTTATTTTATTTTTGTAATTTTTCTACACCAAGATATGAATTTTTGAAGTTAGGGATTATTTTCTGATTTATTTAATTTCCTATGTATCTATTTAAATGCGCAGTGCCACCTCATCCTAGAAAGCTCCAAACGACGATGCAGAGCGCTCCTATTTGTCGTGCTTTCAACCTTGGCATGCCACGCGGCCCGTTGTTCACGCCCCGAGAGTTCATCCGGCTAGATCTCATTAGTTAATGAGATAAACGAACGATAATATGGCTCCCTGTCATCGTCCCCAAACAGGCTAACCTGAGAACCTTCCAAACTAAAACCTTAAGATCTCCCTCTAAACTTAATCAATTCTCGGGGAGTTTGATCCTATGGACTCGTCTAAGTGTGACAAACACATCCATGTGGTAAACATACCACTAAATTAATTCTAATTAAATGGAGAATCAAAATAAGAATCAAAATAGGAGAATCAAAATAGGCTCGGGAAGAGAGGAAGTTCAGTACCTTTGCTTTGAGAAGGGAAGCTTCAATCTGAGGTGCTTGACACATTCGTGGATGTCCAAGGAGGCTATGGATTCAGCCTCTGGTCGTGGTGAAAGGTCTAGACTCAAATTCCATCAAGGCCTGATTTGGGTATTGGTCTTGAGCTATCTTAGAGGCTCAGTATGAGGGGGATTTGATAGAGCTTTATCTTATTTCAGTAAAGTGATGGTGTGGGTGAGTTTAATTTGTATTTGGTGCATTATGGAGGTGTGTTGGAGAATGTCTTGTTTTCGACAAGGATTTGAGCTCAAAAATTGAACATCGACAAGAGGAATTAGGGCAATGGAGTGGTTGGGTTGCACTGTAGAGGTGTCAAGGAAGCTCAGGGAGTGATTTAAGAGGGTATCCTTAAAAAATTTTCAGCACACCTTTTATGGCCATGGAGGTGGAGGTTTTATAATTTTATAAAAATGGCTATAAAAATGGCTTAGGGTGGCTCTATGGGCCAATTGAGGGGTGTAAAATTATGCTTAGGTGGAGGGCAGAGAAGCTTTAAATGTAAAATGGAATGAGGTGGCATGAAGGTTTGAATTGGGTTTAAGTTTTGGGTGATGGCTTACGGTTTGTCTCCTCCAGTGACTAGGCCAGTCGGTAAGGCTAGGGGAGGTGTCCAGGAGGTCAGGTGAGCTAAGGGAATCTGTCACAACCATTAATTTGGGGAGGTTTTAGTTTCGGCAAAAATCCCTTAGGCTTAAGCATTTTTGGAAGTAAATCCTTTGATTTGGGGATTCTATGGTCCATGGCTCATTTGGGAGGTTCCATGGTGTTTAGCTAGGTCAATAAAGTCCAAATTTCTGTTGTGGTGGTTTTTGGTTGGCAAATTTGGCTAGATTGGGTCAACTTTTGATTAAGGGGTCCATGTAGGTCAATTTGGCTAAAGCTTGGGTTTGGGCTAGGCTAGCCATGACCTTGAGCTCAATTTATTGATCAACATTGTGTAGATGATTGTAATGAGCATTTTTGGTGCATTTTTGGTGAAGGAATTGTAATGAGCATTTTTGGTGAAGGATTGAAGTGATTTTGAGTTCAATTGGGGGTTCAATTTGAGGGATTTTGCAATTTTTGTCACTTT